AATATTAAATTGCCCCCAACATCCTATTTCCTTGGGTTATTTTCAGTTCTCTTGTCAATAATTAATTGCCTGTACTTCTGGAGTTTCTATGCTATTAGTGGGCTCACTTCTGGGGTTTCTATTCTGTTCCATTGATCTTCTTTTCTATTTCTGTATTAGTACAAGACTGCCATGCAGTATATCTTACAATGTGGAATTGTGATTTCTCTAGCTTTATTTTTATTCTTCATGATAGCTTTGGCTGTTTGTGGTCTCTTGTATTTTTAGATGAATTTCTGTATCATTTTTTTCTAACCCCGCGAAGAATGTTGTTGGGATTTTGATTGCGCTTGCACTGAATCTGTATATTAATTCAGTAATATGGATAGTTTGATGATTTTATTCTTCCAATCCAGGAACATAATACATTTTTCCATCGTTTAATGTCTCCTTCTATTTCTCTTCTTAATGTTTTGTAATTTTCATCAGAGAAGTCCTACGCATGTTTGGTTAGATTTATTCAAAGCCACAATAAACAAATGGAACTACACCAAACTAAAAAACTTCTGTACAGTATGATCCAGTTATCCCACTCCTGGGGATATATCCAAAGGAAATGAAATTTACATATGAGAAAGCAACATGCTACCCTATACTTTTAGCAGTATGATAATGAATAGCAAAGACACAGAAACAACCCAGATGCCCATGTAAAAAGGAATGGATAAAAAAGCTGTGGAACATTTATTCCATGGAATAATACACAACCATTAAAAAGAATAAAATCCTATCATTTGTAACAAAATGATCCCAAGACCATTATGCTCAGTGGAATAAGCCAATCCCAAAGAACAAATATCATATGTTCTCTTTGATATAAGGCAACATTCATGCATAATACAAAACAAGTAGAAACATAGGTATATAATAAGTATATACATATATTCTCATAGATGAACTGTATAAAACTGGTGTACTGGGAAGTGAAGATATGTCATGGTAAGCATCTCTATTCTCAAATAAAGGAGGACTCTCAGTGAAACAGCTAAATATACCTTGACAATATGATACAAGATTTTCTATGTTGTCTATACCTACAATTTAATAATGTACTTACGTAGCAAAATGTGAAGTTTGTAACAGTTACTAAAGGATGATACTACTGTAATAATATAGAGGAAAATAGTGAGGGGAAAATGAGAAAGGAGAAAGAGGAGGGCAAGGGAAAAATCCCTATACCTACAAAAATGTACCATGGCAAATAATACAAATAATTTTAAAATATGAAAAAATACTAAATTCTTGCAAGAATGAATATATTTACTCTGAACATTACACATTGTATACATGAAACATCCCATAATATCTATAAAAATATACAGTTTATATATAAATATATGCACACACAATTTTTTTAAAGATTTATTTATTTTTATTGGAAAGTCAGATATACAGAGAGAAGGAGAGAAAGAGAGGAAGATCTTTCGTCTGATGATTCATTCCCCAAGTGAGCACAACGGCTGATGCTATGCCAATCTGAAGCCAGGAGCCAGGAACTTCTTCCGTGTATCCCACACAGGTGCAGGGTCCCAAAGCTTTGGGCCATCCTCGACTGTTTTCCCAGGCCATAAGGAGGGAGCTGGATGGGAAGTGGAGCTGCCGGGATTAGAACCGGTGCCCATATGGGATCCTGGGGTGTTCAAGGCAAGGACTTTAGCCGCTAGGCCACGTCTGCGGGCCCAACACACACATAATTTTATGCCTAATAAATTTTAAAATACCTACAATGTATTGATTTTAGCCTTTAATTTTGAAAGCTAGTGAATATTTTCTACAATTATTGAAATTCAAAGAGCTAATTACGTGTAACAATGGTAAGAAAAAAAAATCCATATGTCTACACCGTTGAGAGAGGCTCCCTGGCATTTCCTGGCCATGTTCCCCACCTGCCCACCAAGCCTCCCAGGCCATCAGGCCCGTTAGTTCCACAGCTCAGCATGTACCTGGTCGTGGACTGCTGAGAGCAGGATGGCTGCTTCTGGGCCCTGTTTGAGCCGGGTGGAGGTGTTAAAGTTACTTGCAATCCTCCCTCACCCCAGTGCTCTAGTTGGGATCTTGGGAAGCTTGGGTCTGACTCAATGGGTGGTCAGCTGCTGTCCTCCTAGAACTCCCTTATTGGAGTGAGCCAATTTTTGAATGGGGTTCACTTGATGGCAATGCACAGCAATCTTAAGCTAAGTGGGAGTCCTGGCATGGGTCTTTGACCAGAGGCATTTCTTCAGTGCTAGTTCCAGCTTCCAGCTAAGGCTTTCTCCCCTCCCCCCACTCCCTCTTTCCTCTTCTACCCCCAAACAGCATACCCACCCCCAGCCTGCCCTAGACCCCCCCTCGGAGGCCCAAGATGAACTCCCACTTTCTGCATTTATGAGTTGTTGAAGGTTGAACCAGCAGATGTGAGGAATCCCTCTTAAAATAAGGGTTTTAAAGCCAGTTTTTAAAAAGCTGTGTATCTGAAATTTAATATTTACTATTATTATTATATGTAAATATTTATTAATACGCAACATTGTTTTTCACTATCAAACTTGTAGGGAAGAGACATTGCTATCCATGGCCAGGTGTGCTCAGATAATCCTCTCTGTTCTGGTCTAGTTCAAGCATTTCATTACCCTGGCTCTACAGCATTCATGCAAGCCTTCTTGACCATTTGTATAGGGTAGACCACTGCTTATGTAAGGGATTTGAATGCTGGGGTCACACACTTCTTTTTGATTCTTAAATTTGTCAAATTCCAGAATTTAAGTGTGCTTGTCTATGCCTTTAGTCTGTATTGTGTTCAGTTTTGTTTGCAATTGCTTTATACTTTCACATGACTAGACCTTTGTTTATTAATTTTAACTTAAGATTTCACATGATAGTCCTCCTTTGAACACTTAGGATTTTCTGTATCTAGATTTGAATATGTTACACATGGATAAGAACTATATAAAATATTTAATAAGCTACTTTAAAGTTAAAAATTAAAACCAATCTCATAAATTTAGAATGACCCTTACTTTTACATTTCTACACTGAGATGGGAGAGGAGAGTAATTAATCTTTCTAGTCTCGGCGTTAGGACCAGGAGGTTGTCTGCAGAATCAGGTCCTCGTGTAGTGACACATAGTCCTGTGTTTCTCCAGCTGTGTTTTGTTTCCTGCTGCCACTGCCTTGACCATGTCCAAAGCTTTATCTTGCAAACTCCAGCTTAGAAAATCTTTAGACTGTTCCAGTGATACTGTATTTTTATATATTGTGAGATGACATCTTTCCTCTTATCAGTAATTATGAAATGCAGAAGAATCTTTTCACAAACATCTTTTAGTACAAAGTACCTGGGATGAGGGTATACAGACATGTGTCTGATTCTTAAAACATATCAGGTCAGTGGTTTAGTCTAGCAGATAAAACACTGGCTATGAATCACATCCCATGTTAGAATGCCTGGATTTCACTCCTGGGTTGATTCCAGCTCTCTGTTCTTCTGCACATTGCAAGGCAGCCGGTACAGGTTTAAGCAGTTGGGTCCTTGCTACCTGTGTGGGATGCTTGAACTGAGTTTCTGATTTTGCCCGGGCTTAGCCCCAGCTTTTGTGGGCATTTATAGGGTAAACACAAGATGAGAGATCTCTCTGTGTCTTTCTACCTCCCAAATAAAGAAACAAAAGTTTTTAAAATGAGAAGAGATGATTTGAGAGGAGATGCCAGCTTAGTTAGGAAGCTCTCATCATCAAGTAGAGTTGACTGAACCTTGGCTAGAATGCTGGCCGTGGAGACAGAAATTGGTGGCATGATGCAAATTACAATTTGGAGGTAGTGTTTATTGAACTTTATGATGGAGTACCAGAGGAAGGCACAAAAGGAGGGTGCAATGAAGAATTGACATGTAAATGTCTCACTGGAACAGCCAGGTAGAGCTTTGGGCTTTTTACTGAGATGGAAGATTGGCAGAGGGAGGCTCAGGAATTTTAACATTTTATGTATATATGTATGTATTTATCTTGTGATTGTGAACTGCCTATTAAATATTCAAGAGCCGCCCAGCAAGGAGGTCAAAGTGTAATGTCGGTAGTTCTCAGAAAGGGCAGGTCTAGGATGACAGACATTACTGAAGGCTTTTAAAGCCAGGATGAGATCCTGTGGAGTGTGTCCATATCAAGAGAAGAGGAACAAGGAACTAGCAGTGTATCCTGGGGCACGCTAACGTGTGCCACTCAGTAGTGGAGGCCAAAGTGAAGAAGTATGAGAAGAAACAGCTAGTGACAGAGGTAACAAACGAGTGGCCCTCCTTCTCCCCCAAAAGGCGAAACTCCTGTTGGCAGTCAAGTTAGGATGCAGAGGGCTGGGTGCCATTCATTGGCAGGGTAGTGACCAGGCCAGAGTTAGGGGAGAAAAAGAAGTGAGAACGTATCTTGGCAACTGTTTTCCTACCCCACATAGGACATGCCTGCCTCTGTGCTCCTGAAGCTTCAATGTACATCAAGTTTCCCACTGAAATTAAGGGATACCACACGTCTGAAAATGCACCAGGTACAAGTTTGTTTTTTACATATGTGCCCGCCTGCATGACCACTGTTCACACCAAGGTATGGGTTATCAAGAGGACCCCACAAGGCTTCCTCAGTACCATTCTGATTTCTATGTGTATGCATTAGGCTTAAAAAAATTTTTTTCCAAAGGAAACAAATGAAATTTCTGAAGATCACTGATCTGGCAACTGCTGTAGGGTTCATTTATCAGTGGACTAGAGCCAAAATCCATAGCCCTGCCCCCTCCCTACACCACGCCCCTTTGAGCTCTCGCTTCTTGCAAGGCTGGGGAACGCCGAAGGCGGGCAGCGGCCGCTTTTTGTCATGCGCACTACGGATAGGCGCGCGCCCAGGGCGCGGTCATGCGCATTCAGAACGCCCTAGGTACGCGGGCTTCGCTGCGCCGCAGTGCGCATGAGCGGAGCGGCGCGCGAGGGCGGAAGTGGCAGCCGCCGCGGGGAGGTGGGGCCCCCGCGCTTTCTGTCGGGGTGGGCGAGCGGCGGACATGGCGCCCTCCCGGAGTCCCGTGCTGGCCGTCGTGACGGTCCTGGTGTTGTGGCTTTGTGGCGCTCCCTGCACCTCCGCGCGGCGGAGCGACGTGCGCGTCATTACCGACGAGAACTGGAGAGAATTGCTGGAGGGAGAATGGATGATAGAATTGTGAGTCGGGGGCGGTGGTCCCGGGTCCCTGACTCTCTTGCCCGGCCGGAGTCTCTCATTCCTGCCTGGATGGCGGGTTAGCGCCCGCGTGCCTGTGGCGGGCTCTTGGTTTCCGGGGACGGCACCTGCGACTCTCCGCCGCCCCGGGAAGTGTAGGGATCGGCCGCCGGCGTGGTCCCCCGCCTCCTCGGCGCTTCCCTGGGAACGTGAAGTTACTGCTGAACCTTGCGGCCTGGAGTCCTTTATATGGCTGTGGTGCACCCGAAGGATTCGAAATTCTGTCCAACTTTTCTTCGTGGCTTTGAGCGTGGGGTGGGGCCGATGGGCGGGAGCTGTTCCTGACAGAGTTCCCGTTCATCTATTTCAGAATGCTGCTTCTAGATGGCCAGGCTGCCTTTACCCTCGGAAATGTTGAACTTATCTCTGCTCGCCTTTTGTCTGCCCTTTCTTCTTTCTTGTTTCTTATTTATTTGAAAGTTAGAGCTACAGAGAGAAAGGGACAGAAAGAGAAATCTTCTATCTGTTGGTTCGCTTCCCAAATGGCTGCAACGCCCAGGTCTGGGGCAGACCAGTGCCAGAAACTTCATTCTCGAAGAGCACCATGTGGATGCAGGGCCTCAAGCGCCTGGTCCATCTTCTGCTGCTTTCCCAGGCACGTCAGCAGGGAACTGCATTGGAAGTGGAGCATCCGGGACCTGAACCAGCACCCATATGGGATATGGTGATCCCAGGCGGCTGCTTTACCTGATGTTTGCCGCGCACCAGACGCTTGGCTGACCTTAAAAAAAAAGATAGTCCACTTGGAATGTTGGCCTAGACGATTCCATTTTAATTAAGTTCACATCTTAAACATTTTGAGTGCTGAGTAAAATCCAAGCTGGGTTATTTCTTAATTCTTAATTTCCTCTTTCTTTCTAGTCAACCCCCCCGACTTTTTTTTTTCTTTCATTATGCTTTTGTAGTATAGAGAATTCCTTAGGTTGCAATTTCTAGGCCTTTGTTACTGCAATGAAATAAAATCCGTACATTAGGGTGACTATATACACTTGCGGGAGTGCTAGGCTATTTGTCTTTCAGACTCGGGTGAATTGTGTGGTGGTTCCATGTTAATGTCTGTTCTGCAACTTTAGAAGCATTTCAGGTTGGTTGTGGTGATAGTGTTGATACGACCATGTTAGTGACAGAGTCCCAGTAAGTGCTTTACATGCATTGCCAAGTCAAATTCTCTGAGCTTTCTGTGTCATGAATGTTATTTCCCGCAATTTACAGATGCCTAAAAACCTTAGTTAGCTTTTCCACATACTTGAGTGTTGAGGAGACCTGGATAGCCATTACTGGAACACCCCTTCTTTAACAGGGATCAAGTGAGTGTTTTAGATCCATGGGTGTCGGTGGAGCAGGTGGAAATGGACATCCCCAGTGGTATTCCCACCCCCCCAAAATGAGTAACTCAGATACTTAAAAAAACGGGAGCCCTACAAATTTACAGAAAGGCACGATGGGGAAAAATGTCTATGGGATGGATGCCTGTCATCTGCCCTTTGAGCTGTCAGGCACCATTTAAGCTAGAGGGGGAAGGAAGTGCATATACAGCCAGTACAGAAGAATTGTGAGTTCTGTGAGAACTGCCAGATTTTTTAGGCATGTTCTCATCTTCAGTGACTTGGGTTAAATTATGTCCATAAAATACTTAGTGTTGTGAGCAATATATTAAGCAGTAGTGATTATGAATAGATACGCAAAATACAATCAAATATCCAGGGTAGATTTTAAGTCATTTGGCTAGACTATATACATGTGTCAGAGATATTAGGGGAAGATAACTAGCAAATGCAGAATACAAGCTCAACTCAAATTGGTGCATTTATCAGAAATGATCATTGGTGGATTTTGTTTTGTTTTTCCTTTGCTAAAACTTCTGAGGAGCAGTCTTAAAGAAGCAAATGAAGTTTAAAAAAAGAATTGAGCCTACCCTTAGTTTCAAGTCCTTCATCTTCGGGAGATATATTTCTGGTCAGAATTGTATTGCCAAGCTAATTTTGTTGAAACACAATTTATCAATGAGGAGGAATTTGTAGTATTTGGTTTTGTTTTGTAGTGCTGTTTGGGGAATTTGGTTTCTTCCTAAAACCAGTCAAGAAAATATGCAGAGCAGAACGTGTATTTTTTGGTGTGTGACAGGGGTATACTTTATTCAAGTCCTGGGAAAGATTGAGGCTAGTGAAGGTAATACCAGAGCAGTAGTTAAATTGCTGTTGTGTTTGGCGATAAAGTTTGTAGGCCGTACCCACTGTCTTAGAAACTAGCCCAAAACAATGTCCTTTTTAGTCTTTCACTGTGAGTTAATATTTGAAATAACACTTTTACAAAGAAGTGCAGAGCTTAGCTTCATATAAAATGGCCATCCTGCCTTTCTGCTCTGGTGTCCATGGGGCTGGCCAGCAGATTGTGGTTACAGACTTCAGATGAAGTGAGGACTTCCTTACCACAGCCCCAGGCACTTCCTGTTTTTCCAACACCTTGCCAGTTTGTGACTTGGCAGTATAAAATCATTAGAATTGGTACTCTCCAAGTTTGTTGGGCTTCTAGTGGCTACATTTTAGTGGAAACATCCAAAGGTTGTTGAAGACCTGGTTTGCCTGTGTAAAAGATCTTGTGTTCTAGGAACTTGTCTCGGAATTACTTTTGTGTAGTTAGCATCATCAATTTGTGCCTCTTGATTTCCAGATGGTCAGACCCACACTTGGATCTTTTTCATCTGAAATTTATCACTTTGCTGTCTTCAGTGTTCCTCGTATAAATAATCTTCACCAATTACGTTTTAGAGTTTTCATTCCAAAATGAGTGATCTTTGGCTTATCTAACTCTTCTTTTTGTTGTTGTTTTTGAAATTTTATTTCTTAGCTATGCTCCATGGTGTCCTGCTTGTCAAAATCTTCAACCAGAATGGGAGAGTTTCGCGGAATGGGGAGAGGATCTTGAAGTGAATGTTGGAAAAGTAGATGTCACGGAGCAGACAGGTACTGGGGGTGTGTGGTTTTGTTTCTTGGTGTGCATTGGGTTGATACATTTGTTCATCCTGCTTACTGCAATACATGGTTTTGAAAACATGGTGCTTTGCAACTAGCTGAGCCCAGTAACCCACTTCTCTTATGAAGCTCTGCTTGCAGTGGCTGTGAAAAGCAGCTCAGTTTTTGTACGTGTTGGTCCCGTGGACATTGGAGACATCTGCATCCTGGCCCTCATAAGTATATCTGGTCTTTTTTTTTTTGGTTTGTAGCCCAGGCCACAGACTAGTATGTGAGCTGTCTTTGAAAAAGTTCTAGAACGCTGCCATCCAGGTGGATAGTGGCCAAAGCATGATTTGCATGCATGTTACATTTGAGACTCCGGAGCATGTGGCTGAATTTTCTTTGTAGAATGCAAGTCACTTTCCCTGAACAGAGAAAAGCTGAGTGTCTGCAGTTGAGTTCCATGCTTACCTATAATTTGGGGTTGAGGGCTCTTAATTACAAAGCCCTCTTGGTTGTAGGGTCACATATACTCTTGACTTGGTCCCTTGTACAAGTGGCCATGTAGCTTTTTATGGTGCTGCTTTCTCAGACCAGCCACGTCTTTTTTTTTTTTTTTTTGGTAGTCCCAGTAAACCTAAATTCCCAGCTGCCCATCCCAAATGGTGATAATTGGTAAGATTTCTTAGACATATTCTAATCACAGTCCTCCTCCAAGTGTTTTGACAGATATTTAGCACCTACACAACTGTGAGATGTATGATGCTCTCAGAAAACTGAAGGACACAGCGGTTCACCCTTAATTTGATAGTGCTTGACATTTAGTATATAATAAATGTTGGCTCCTGTCCCTGTTGCCTGTCTGATGAAATATTCACAGTCTTTTCTGTTTTTAACAACAACATAAATTGCATTTGTTGCTTACATGTAAAATAGGCAGTTTTGTTTTATTTAGATCTTTCTTAGTTCTTGTTTCAGTCAGACTTCCATATCCAAGGGTTTTGTGTCTGAGGATGGAGTCATCGCATCAAGCGTGGGCAGTTTTGGGGGCGGGAGGGGCCTGGAATGATGATCTGTATAACTCTTCTATTAGGAATTGGAAGGATTACAGAAATGATTTAAAGAAAGTCATAGGTAAATACTATGCAATTTTGTAAAGGGGATTTGAGCATCCTCAGATTTTTTTTTTTTATCAGCATGCCGACTGTTTTGCTGTCCACAACTGACTCATCGCTAGTAGTCTTTATAACTGAAGTGTGTTTGTTTATGTTCATGAGTGTCTTAAATATTCACCTTCAATTTTAGTTGAGATAATAGGCCACCGTGTGATGTTTTCACTAATGGTCTTAAGAAAATAATTTGTATTTTTTCATTGCTTATACCAAGTTTAGCTATTTCTTAAATATAGTTTAATATAATATTCCATTAATATTTAAATAATAAAAGTCAACATTTTAAGCAGTGATTGGCCCATAAGAAATCTGGTGATTGTTCTTTACTATTTGTAGGACTGAGTGGACGGTTTATCATAACAGCTCTTCCGACCATTTATCAGTAAGTATTTGAAGATTCTCAGTTCCAGAGAAGGATGCATTCTGATGAGTTCTCAGTCTTGGTGGTTCCTATGAAGAGCTGATAAAGGAGAAATCAGTGTTAGCTGAAGTGGTTCCTAGAGTATGCAGGGTTTAAATGAAGTCTTGAGTGTAGAATTTTTAAGGATGTGAAAAAAGACTCCATTGAGGACTGTGATAACACATCTAGCAGACAAGTTCGAAAAGGAGCTGATTTGGGTTTGGTGGTGTGCCACAGCAGGATAAACTGCTGCTTTTACCAGCAGCTCATATCGGAGCGGCAGTGTTGAGTCCCAGCTGCTCTGGTTTATATCCACTTCACAGCTAATGTACCTGTGAAAGCAGTGGGTGATGGTTCAAGTAATTTGGGCCTTTGCCATGTGTGTAGAAGACCAGGATAGAGTTCAAGTCTTTTTTAAAAAAAACAAGTATCCCGTGCTACCTTAGGGAGACTAGTGGATATTAGAGTGAAATCAGAATGTGCAAGATTGTATAGACTTTAGTATCATGTCTTTTCATTGGACTTTTATCTTAACTGGGCAGAGGAAATCTCCAGTGTGTTTGCCTGCCATATATAACACAGTTTACCTGGGGAGTGAAAGTATCAGGAGATGTTACTCTCACTTAAAGTATGAACATAAGTTGGTCAGGCATGTTGGGTATATCTTGTTATCCTTTGTCTATATTTATGTATTCATTTAAATTTCCTCCTATTTTCCTTTATGTCTATTTACATCTCTTTTTTAAAAAAGTTTTATTTATTTGAAAAGCACGTTTAGAGAAAGAGAAGATGGTGGTGGGGGGCGGGTCCTCCATCTGCTGATCCACTCCTCAAATGGCTGTCATGACTAGGGCTCAACCAGACTGAAGCCAGGAGCTTCTTCTGAGTCTCTCCTGTGGATGCAGGCGCCAAAGCATTTGAGCCCATCTACTGTTGCTCTCCTAAGCACATTAGAAAACTAGAGCAGCCTGGTATTGAACTGGCACCCACTGGGGATGCCAACAGTGTAGGCCTCTGACTTAACCTGCTCTTATGCGAGCCTCTATTTTCAGTTCTGTTCTGTCTCTGAAGTGCTTTTTTATTTACTATATCGGTTCCTTCCCCACAGACCCCTTTTAAATGGCTGTGGTCAGTGTGCCCCCTAAGTTGGTCTATAATTTTTTTGCTCTTTTACTTTCAGTTACAGCATTAACTATACTCTTTTCCCTAATTCCTTCTTGTTAAAATTTTACTTGTCCTTCAAGAAATACTAAAATGCTATTTTTAAAAAGATTTATTTTCAGACCTGGCACACACCGGGATCCCATATGGGCTCCAGTTTGTGTCCTGGCTGCCTCGCTTCCCATCCAGTTGCTGCTTATAGCCTGGGAAAGCAGTGAAGGATGGCCCAGAGCTTTGGGACCCTGCCCCTGTGTACAAAATTTAGAAAAAACTCCTTGCTTCAGCTCAGCTCAGCTCAGCTCAGCTCTTGCTGTTGCAGCCACTTGGATAGTGAACCAGTGGATGGAAGATCTTTCTCTGTTTCTACCCCTGTATCTACATCTTCCTTTCCAATAAGAGTAAATCTTTTAAAAAGCAAAATAAGGAGGAAAAAGGCCAAGTTGTAGAGAGAGAGAGAGAGACAGAAATAGTGAGGATTATCTTCCATCTGCTGATTTACTTCCCCTATAGCCATAGCAACCAGGCTGAAGACGAGGCTGGAACTCCATCCAGGTCTTCCAACACTGTGTCCTCTTTGGCTGCATTCCCAAGTGCATTATCAGGGGCCTGGGTTAGAATTACCTGTGTTGATATTTGGAAGTGGTACTCTTATGTGATGCCTATCATAGGTACCTTAATCCTGTCTGATACAATGCCAGCTCTCAAATTTGATTTTTGATTGGGATCGTCTTTTATTTTAGCTAGCTGATCTAGTTTAGGATCCCCTCATGTTGTGGGATCTTAGGGGAACATTTATTACCAAGTGATGGAACTCCAAACATTGGAAATGCAAAGGAAGAAGTTAAGGGAAGAATACAAGGATGACTATAAATAGAATCACTGAAATAGGAGGGAGGCAGGCCATGTAGCAGACATCTCCAGCGATTCTATGGAGGAATTAGTAACAGGTTCCTTATCTGTACTGTAGTATTTGCAAAAAAATACTAAATCTGTATGGACCTTTCTTGTCATTGAGACTGAGTAGGCTTTTTTGCTTGTCACTCTCCTTAAATAATATAGTATAACAGCTATTTACCTTGTATTGGATGTTATAAGTAAACTAGAGATAATTTAGATGTATATGGTAGAATATGCATCCATTATAGCAAATATTGTGCCATCTGTGAAGGACCTGAACATTGGCAGCTTTCGTTGGAACCTACAGCAGTAGACACTAGGGGACTGCCATTACAGAAAAAGAGCTTACAGTTTAGCAGCTAATCAATATGTGTTGGGTCCTATTCTGATACCTTCTAAATAGCACATTTAGTTGTTCATTAAAGATCAGACTTCAAAGAGATTTTCTGAGATGTATCAATTCTGCTTAGTAGTTTTATTTGGAAAAGTATGATAAGATCTTAAGGCTTATTATGAGTGTTTAACTGCAGTGATGCAACTTTGATGCTGAGGTGTCATGGATAGGTAATTGCTATCATCTGTTTACTTATTCATTGCTTTACTTATTCATGCTTTCAAATATTAGCTTTGATTGTAAAATAAGTTAGAGAAATAAAACAAATACAGAATTTACCACTCAGTGCTGGTTAATTTGATTTTGACCTTCTTTAGTTGCAAAGATGGTGAATTTAGGCGCTATCAGGGTCCAAGGACGAAGAAGGACTTCATAAACTTCATAAGTGACAAAGAGTGGAAGAGTATTGAGCCTGTTTCATCATGGTTTGGTCCTGGTTCTGTTCTGTAAGTAGGAGGGATTTTTTTTTTTTTTCTTAACTATTTCAGGATTAATTGGAGCAAATGACTCCATGTCAATGAAGCATTTATACTCAATTTGTTTTCTTATGCCTTTAATGCACATTCAGGTTTTTTTATGTGCTTGATGTTTTTGGTTTGTCCTTATTGTTAAAAACAGACCAAGCTTATTAAGCTAGAAGAAACTGTTTTGTAGAATTCAGTTGAATTAGTTTAGGAATTTTTTTCACTTTGCATAATTATCAGAAAACTAAAATCCTCTAAAAAAATAAGAACAATGTAATAAATAAAGTAATAATTTGAAAGATAAAACCTGTTCTTGTTACCTTTAGAGTTATCAGTTCTTGACATAAGTTATTAAGTTATGTTTAGCTTTATCAGTTCTTGACATAAGTTATTAAGTTATGTTTAGCTAGGAAATTATTATTTCCTTCTCTGAGAACTTCTGTGCATAGTGGGGATGAGCGTGACCCTGACAGCATCACAGACCACTGAACTTGGTGGGTGGCTCCGTGGTACATACATTTCTCCCTAGCAATTTACTGTGGAGTGGTAAGGATTGGAAATGGCAAGCATGTGTCCAGCTCTGCTGTTGAGGTAGGAGACTAAACTGGTCATGACTCTTGCTTTGGTCACTGTGGACTCATCCTCATTTGGCTAAGCAGTCTCTTCCAGTCCCCTCAGCCACAGTTGCACTTGAAAGATGGGGAGTTGGAGCCCCAACAGTACAATGGAAATATACTGTGGACTCTTGGTATGGGAGAAGCAGATTGGTGTCTCTTACAGACCTCTTTTTCTGACAGCCTTTGAATTGTTAGGACTCACCTGTTGAACCCCGTGTCTAACCAGGTTAAGGAACCTGCTATTCCAGTATGGGTTAATTAGTGCAGAATAATGTCAAGCAACACAATGATTTCAGTTCCCTGTTGCTATTCCCACCCAGCCTTTTTCGACCACAGAGGCCATATGACTAAAGTGCCTTTTTATGCTGAATTTAAAATGTAACTGATTTTTTTATCTTTGAAATTTTATAAATAAATCTTGCTCTCTTCTGGGACAAGGAAGTATTTGCTTATAAATTTTTGTTGAATCTTGGGGCGGTAGGGCATGTCTCTTTTATTGCCAGTTTGGTAGGGAGCACCCCTTTGATTCCTCAGCACATTTCCCCACTGGTAGTTAGATTGGACCATCTTTTGGCTAGTTGGCAATGCTGGCAGTACTTGGTTTGCTAGATAAGGTGGATGGGAACCCACAGCCAATATTGTTTTTGAAGCATGCCTTTTTTTAATACATTTTAATACATTTTATTTTTGATGATGTTTTCATAGTTGATTAGGGTGGGAAGGGTCAAGGTTTAGGGGAAAGTGGGTGAGACTATTGTTTTCAATTTTTTTTTCTTCTTCCTGTGTCTGGGGGAAAGGGTGATACAAGGGGCTGGGGTACCCAGCCTCCCAACCACCTTGGTGCCAGGGCTAGTAATGGGGAGCACTCATCCAATGTCATCCCAAGGTCCCCAAAGTGGAACAAAAGTGCTTTTTAAAAACTTCTTATCTAAACCTACCTGCATTTTGAGGATGTTTTATTTATATGACAGCATTTATTTCCTATGTAATTAATATGTCATAATATGTCCAGCTATTGCTTCTGTGAAGTTTTGAATTGAGAGGCAAAAAAGAATTCAGCATGTGTTCCCAGGTTCCCTTTTCTATTCAGGATTTTAAGATGGAATAAGAATCGTCATTTCCAACTGGTTTCATAGGGCTTATAACCTGTTACTCAGTTACATTAAGAAAGGATTGCATGGAAAATGATTGTCAGAACAATAGAAAGAAGAGAGGAATATCAAATATTTTATGAGGATAGCAAATGCTGGCAACAATTCAGGACCTTTAAAAGAATCAACTTTATTGCAGGCATGAAATCAGTGATGTGTCACTACTTGATTAACACCAGCCAAAAATTCTGCCTTGTTGGGGAAATTACAGGGTAGAGAATAGAATGTATCACTGTAGACAGTCTGTGTCTTAATCAGTTTTTCAATCATCTCTTTTATTTTAGGATGAGTAGTATGTCAGCACTCTTTCAGCTATCTATGTACATCAGGGTATGGACTGAAATATTTCTATATTAAATATTTTTAACACTAACTTTAAAAACAAAAGCAGGTTTTCATTTTTTTTTTCACCCTTCTCATGATTTTAGACTTGTCATAACTATTTCATTGATGACCTTGGATTACCTGTTTGGGGATCATACACAGTTTTTGCCGTGGCAACTCTACTTTCAGGACTACTGTTAGGACTCGTGAGTACTTTATTTTCAGAGTACTATAAAGGGAAATATTTTAAAATATGATAATACAACTGCTCTATCACATATTACATTTTTTTTTGCAGTGCATGATATTTTTGGCAGATTGCCTTTGTCCTTCAAAACGACGTAGACCACAGCCCTACCCTTCAAGTAAGCATATTTTATATATGTAAAACTGTTCAAATTTTATTCTCATTTTATTTGAAAGGACACATTGTCGTTTGTCTGCTGGCTGTCCACATCTTACAAGTACTGAGGGTGATTTGGCCAGGTGAAAGCCAAGAGCCTGGAACTCCGTCTGGGTCTCTAGGACTTGAAGCCAGTCACTTTGATACAGGTGTGAGTTTTCCAGGTGGTATCATAACCACTGAGCCAGCACCTGTCCCTCATCCAGATTTTGATGTGATTATAACAGGCCACTTGGTTTCTTTTCCAGTGTTAATTGTTTGGCTTACTTAGGCTTTAAGTTGCAAGGGATAGAAACCCAACTCTATCTGCCTTAAGACACAAAGGGAATTTATTGGTTCTTGGTAGCAAAGGAAGAGTGAGTGAGGGCACAGTTGACGGGATCTTTGGGATTCAAATGTTGAGATGCTCTGCGTTCCTGAATTGCTCAGTTATCTTTAGATTGTTCTAAGCTTGGCTCTTATAGAGTCAGTTGCATAGTTATGAAAAGGTGTAGATAGTAGTCTAGGAGTAAGAAGAAATTTCTTTCCTCCTATCCTATACCCATCTATTTTTTATACAAATACTAATGTAAATAAGAATTACCAAACTCCCTACTATTGATATTAGGAGTTTGATAATTCTTCACAGTGGTTATGTGTACATATTTGGGTGTTTACATTATCTCTCTAGTTGACAGTTGCACTGCCCTCCTCATCTGTGACAGCTGAAAATAACCTGTAGATATCGCCAAGTTGTTCCTTGGGGGATATAACTCTTGATGAGGAACCACTACCGTTAAGTGTGGCCATTACCAGAACCACATAAGATATGGTATTGGGAGGAGCTGATAACCCAGCCAGAAGGACTGTCTACCACTTGTAAATGCACATCCCATTCATCCTTCTCATTCTAGTTTGCCAGGTTAGGGACAGCATTAGATCACTGAAAACACAAAAATTCTTTAGCCCAAATCTGTCTTTTGTGTCTCAGTAACTTAATGTGTTCTAAGCTTATGTTACTGACAGACTTATTAAAAAAAAAAAAAACTATGTGTGTGTACCTAGTTATTTCTTGTTCTGCACACTTAAGGTGTATATTTTGAAGCAGGTGTTTCTCCTAGTAGTCAAGATGTCCATTGGAGCACAGGAGTCCTGTTTTGGCACACCTGGACTCCAGTCTAGATTTCAGCTTCCTGCTTATGCACACACAAGGGGCAGCAACTGATGACTCAAGTACTTGGATCCCTACCAGCTTTCTAGCTATTGGCTAGTTCTTAGCTATTGGCTTTGGCCTCCCTGGCCTGGCTGTTGGAGGCAGCTGGGAATGAATAAACAGGCAAAAAACCTCGGTCTGTTCCTGCACCTTTCAAATTAATAGTTAACGTTTTTACATATTATTGGTAATTACATTTTTAGAGAATACTACTTCATCAGAAACATTCTTCAGTGAAACTAGAAAAATTTTAGAATTACTTTCTGAAAATCCAAATGTAATTAAATGCCAAAACAATTTAAAATATATTCATTATTATACTTCAGAATAATTCATTATAGTATATTGGTTTTATAAAGAAATTAATACAAAAACATGTTTGTTGTTGTTGTTTGTTTTTTATTTTTAAGAGAAATCATTGCCAGGATTTTCTCAGCCTTTAAAAAACACGGAAGAACACGAAGCTGATGAAAACATTTCAGAAGAAGAAGCCAAAAATGGAAAAGCTGAGAAAGACTTTGTACAGCCGAATGCCCTGAGACAGCGTGTTGTTGACCCATCACAGGCCCCAGATCAGTCCTAGTTCATTTTTATACACCTGAGTGCTATAATTTTGACAGAAACAAACAAAAAAGGACCATTTCAGTTGGTTTGAAGTGAACTGTGACTTGTGTGTAATCAGGGTCCAGTCTGGCTTATCATTCTTTGAACAGTCTTTGGGAAATAAAAGCACTAGTTATAAAAGTTTGATTTAAGGACAGCTTGGTAGTTTCAGCAGCTCTCAAATTTTGGAGAAATCTAGTGCCAAGCAATAAGATTTGTGTGTTTTCTAATAACTCGTTTGAAGTCTGAGTTGAAACAAATTATGTTTCTCAAGAATTATATTATGGGGTATTTAAGAAGCTTAGGTTAGAGAAAAAGATTTCTCATTTGATATAACTTTTTTCTGTTTCACTGTGTGAAAACAAAGAACGTATTTCCCATACATGGGAACTTTTCCCATTGTCTCAAGAGTATTTCAATAACAATTGTGGTGGTTTCAGAGACACAGTTTCTTATTTTTAGATGATGTACCTAGTAATAACTACCTTATCTTAATTATGATTTTGTACTCGTGGTAATAAAAGAGATGCTACTACCTGCTGATCAGGGAAGTCATTGGAAGTCCCTGGAGCCCTCAGTTCTCACAGCTTGTCCCCCTGTTGTATGTACCTTGGTTGCCACGGGTAACCTCTTTCAAATGATGTGAACAATATCACTGTCTTTTACTATGGGACCCATAATCCTATTGTTTCAAACTAAGGTTGACTGAGGGCGCCACCAAATTAATTTGTTGATACTTTAAAATTTTGGCTGTTAATTTCACCTTGGTATCTTTTTGTTGAAAACACCTATTTTCATTTTCTGTTTTATGGTTGTTGAAAGTAAGCATTCCGTGTGTGTGTGTGTGTGTGTGTGTGTGTGTGTGTGTGTGTGTGTGTGTAAGAGCCTTGGTATCTTACATTTTGAAAATTCACAGTTTAATTTGATATAAAATAAAGTTTGCATTCTGCTCAGGAAAAAGCATCTTTTAGTACATGTTTTCAGTGTATCTTTGTCCTTATGTACAGATGTGATCATTGATGTAACACGTAGTTTATGTTTGATGTTTTAAAGTTGTAACTTGTGTTAAAATGACACACCTCTTATTCTGCTACTGATATTGCATGGCACTTCACATTTTGCCATCAGCAGGTTGCAGTGTAATTTATTTTCACTCCTAATGAGTTAGCACATTGTTTGCACTGTACAGTTTAGAAGGAGTGTGGTGGATTGCCACCAGAAGGGGGGAGAAACGTAAATACTCAGGGTGAATCACCAGACTGTTATGCCATATAATGTACAAGTTTCTTTTTAGAGGTCTCTCCTTTAGAATATTAAATATTTACCATATAGGAGTTTGGATGTGTAATTGCAATGCCTTAGAAAAATACTGTAAGTGTGAAGTATACTTTTGTAAACACTTCAGTGATAGGACTGGTATGATTGCTTGTTATGTATTTGAAAGTAGACTTGATTTCTTTGTATTTATTAGCCATGTTCAGTTAAACAAAGTAGTATATGGGAGTATTTTAAAAAGTTCATAGAATATGGAACAAAAAAAAATTACGGTATGAAATTTTTTTGAAATCTTGCGTACAAAGGATCTTCAAGAAGTACATAGAAAGTGCATATAATGGAAAAACTATGCCTGGATTGAAAAATTTAGACACTGAAATCATCTTAAGTTTCATTCAATTCAGTTTTCCGTGAATTTCCTGACCCTTGTTATGTAGACTTTATGTGTGTAATCAAACACTTAGAGTCCTTTTGTTGCTTACCATGGTGGAAGAAATAATACCCAAAACTGTTCTGTTTTCTAGTTGTGTTATGTATGTATTTTCAGGGTTTTACTTAGAAAGTAATGTGTTACAGAAAATTAAAGGCAGGCTATATTAGGGTGTTTATGTTTCAGAAAACATCTTAGATTTGAAAGATTGTTATGTAGATATCTGAATAATTTTCTCTTCATACCATCAGCACATCATTTACATATAGTCAAGGAGTGAGACGCAGTGAGTTAAATGCTGGTGAATTCTTGTATACTCTATGTAGTTGATATGTTCTCTTAAAGATTTAAAAACTCTGGTATGTAGTAGAAAATGCAGTATTGAAAATACAGTGTTTTATGACTTTTTGTGAATACTTGATTTATTAGCAAGTCTGGAAAATGTTTTGTTAAAGGTTCTTGATACAACTGAGTAACTTGGAGATTTGACAGCCAAGTCTTAATTCATTTCCTCTAAACTATGAAAGATAAGAAACTCAGGTGAACAGGCTAGGAGCTATGGCAGAGGTAGCTGTATTATGAATCTCGTGCTTCCTAATCTTGTCTCTTCAATATAAGTACTGAAGATTCAGCAATCTCTGGACTTTGAGATTTCCCTCTTATCAGAATCTAGCAATGAATGCTGTAAACCATGAACAGTATTTGCAGATTTGAATGTGGTTTTAACATGAAATCATTACAGTAAATGATGCTTTGGGAAACATTTCTTTTTTAAGATTTATTTTTATTGGAAAGTCAGATTAACAGAGACAAGGAAAGGCAGAGAGAAAGATCTTCCACCTACCAGTTTACTCCCCAAATGACACAGTGGCTGGAGCTGAGCTGATCAGGAGCCAGGAGATTCTGTTGGATCTCGCACACAGGTGCCCCTCCCAACATCTGATTGGAAATCATTTTCCTTACCTATTTTGAGTAGGCTTTTAGTTGAAGCCTAAAAAGTAAGAGGTTACACTGTGAACTAATGGTGTGATTTAGCTTAGTTCACATCTGTTGCATTCAAGCTGTGGGTTACTTTTCTCCCTATGAGATTCCAAGCCATGTGAAAAGGAGTTTGTATGTGTAGTTGAAACTAATTCATGACCCAAATTAGTTCTTTCCTACATACTGGGTAGTAAGAGAGGTTAAATGAGTCAAGTTCTCAGGAAATTTTTTCGCTCATAGTTTATTACACTAATATGTTCTGTAAGTATTAGAGACAAGATTCTGGAAGCTGAGAGTAGCGAGTGTTAAATGCAAGTATAGCTATTGAGATTGAAATGAGTTTTTGAGCCTAAAAGAAGCTTGTTTGGCTTTTTAATCCTTTCATATTTAGGTTTTGTGTTGAGTGAGCAAATTTTTGTATCATTTTAGACAGTAACTTGAGTTCTGAGAGTAGGAGTCTAAGTTTGGAGGTGGTAAGAAGGGATTGTTTTTGCAATTTTGTCTCAAAAAAAGGAGTACAGGATGAGGTGTTTATGTATTCTGGCATTTTTCTTAGTCCAGTGTTTATGAACTTGAGTTCTCATTGAATAAACCTGTTGCTTAATAGGCTGTAACTTGCAATATAACATGAACAATTTTTGAAGGGTTGTTTTGTAAACTTGTCAAGAACATGATTGCTTTTTTTGGCTTTGATTTTCATGCTACTCATCTGTATGCTTTGGACCTCCCACCCCCTCACGCACACACACAGTGTTGGTGAAGCCAGATGCCTAGGTAAAAATGTTAGTAACAGTCAAGTTTTGTCCAGTGTTTATATGTGAGGTAAGTTTGTTAAATAGTCTCAGCTCACTGGTTGATTTTTAATCAAAGAATGTGTAAACCACATAAAACGATGCCTTAATGTCACGCTGGACTATGAGCTTATGGAGAGTTTATAGCGCACACAGATGGGATCATCTGCTGTGTTTACCATTCATCTTTAGGCTGTCCTTTACTCTTGTAGCCTGCCACTTAATAGTTTTGACGTGAAAAATGCTAGTAGCTTTTTTTTAAATGTCCTAAATAAATTTTAAAATTGGCAACCGCTTGTATCTGGGATGTGGAGAATTTAGTAGGCCATAGCATGGTGACATTTGGGAGCCATTCATGTGGTTACAATGAACGCCAGCTTGGGAAAAGCAAAAGCTGAGCATTCTGGGCCCCTCCTGATAGATTGTTCTTTCTGTTACTCATGCCTTTTGTTAGTGCCCACGCTGTTCTGCAGCCTTGAAGTTAAGTTGGTTCCTGTGGTATAAACAGAAACCTCAAAAATTACTTCTGGGGAGGCAGGAAGAAAGGTCCCAAATGGCTATGGCATAAGAGTTTTGTCAGGAGAAAGCTTGCATGCCTGTATCACTTTCTTTTAGTAATTTATTTTTTTAAGATTTATTTTTTATTTTTGTTGGAAAGTCAGATACACAGAAAGGAAGAAAGACAGAGGAAGATCTTCTGCCTGATGATTCACTCCACAAGCGGTGGCCACAACAGCTAGAGCTGAGCGAACCTGAAGCCAGGAGTCCGGAGGCTCTTTTTGGTCTCCACACAGGTGCAGGGTCCCAAGGGTCCCATCCTCAACTGCCTTCCCAGGCCACAAGCAGGGAGCTGGATGGGAAATGGGGCTGCCAGGATTAGCACCGGTGCCCATATGGGATCCAGGCACATGCAAGGTGAGGACTTTAGCTGCTAGGTTACCGCGCCGGGCCCTCTTTCAGTAACATTCTTCTTGATTGTTAAGATAGAATCATCGAGGTGTGAGATTGTCATTGATTTTGTTACACCTTGCTGTTTCCCCTTGTATAACATGGAAGTGTGATGGAATCTAGTGCTTAACACTAAGAAATTGAAGGACGTATTGAGTGTATTCAAATTCTCAGGTTCTACAGCTTTTTTTTTTTTTTCTCTATAGAAATATTGTCTCAATGTGTAGTAACAAGAAATGCCCAGGTCTGCACCAGTGTTGTGCCACAGTGGCAACTTAATGAACTTTGGCTGAAAGTTTTTTCACTCACCCTTATCACTGATAGATCACCAAAGAAAGCCCTTAGTGTCCTGGTTATTTAAAGAAGGCTTTTATGGTTTGATTTGACTCTAACAACCTAGATAGGAAGGGTAAGGGATTTTTTTATTACTGTTTTGCAGATATGGAAACTGAATCTAGGAGAAATGCTTGAGGTTAAATCACAAGTAAGTGTTGGAGTGAAGTCTTAAACCTAGGATTGTTGGTTTTGGTAGAGAACAGTGTTTCTCAAATTATCTGGTATCAAACATTAATCTTGCAAGTTACTGATGCGTAAGATCCTCGTAGTCAAGAGAGTTTGAGGAAGCATTTCTGTAAATGTGATTCAGGTGGAAGTTTACAGAGTGTTTCCCTCAAGAAACAAGATCATTTACCTTTGCTCAAGCTCCTGAACATTTAAGTGTTGTACTCTTTCTAAAATGGCACCCTTTAAACGTTTCCAGAGATGTAGCAGTACGCTTTGGTAGAATGTTAGTGAGGTACCATGCTGCATTCCTCTTGCTTGAGATCTTAGAGTTTTCTCCTCACATTGGAAGGCAGTGTGATGGAGGGGAAGGTTCCGGACAAGATAGGAAGTTCGTCAGTTTGCTGGTTCTGTCCACAATGATTACCACAGCCTGGGCTGGGCCAGACTGAAGCTAGGATCTAGAAACTACCAGAGCCCTGCATGTGGAGAGCAGAAGCCAAAGAACTTGGACTCCATCTACTGCTTTTCAGACACTCCCAAATGGGAGGTGGATATAATTAATGTTGGCTTACCTTACCGCAATGCCTGCCCTGTATCGAACTTTTTTGGTATAATACCTTGTAACTTAAGCATCCTGTTGTCAAATGCTAGCTTCCTGAAAATATATGGAAATAATTCTGATCAAGGAAAGCTATATTTATTGCTGCCTGTGACTGGGGTGAACACTATGTTGATAGTCTTGGAAGCATCTCAGAGTGAAAAGTTGGGGATTTTGGATCCTTTTGGTACCTGGCTTAAGGTAAGTTTTCAATCTGCAGGTTTGTTTATGAGTAGATAAATGTGAAGCTAACAGTTTTAAGTGAATCTTTAAATAGTCATACAATGGTGTCCACTGTTCAGGGAAGGGAGTTTATGAAAGGACTTTATCTTCTTCAAATTTTTATTGGAAAGGCAGATATACATAGAGAAGGAGATACAGAGAGAAGGATCTGTCCACTGGTTCATTTCCCCAAGTGGCCACAACAGCCAGAGTTGAGCCAAGTTGAAGCCAGGAATTGCTTCCAGGTCTCACATGGATGCTGGGTCCCAAGGTTTTAGACCATCCTCAACTGCTTTGAGGAAGTTCTGGAAGATAACAAAGGTTAGTATTAGCTTCCTGAGCACATTTCCTAGAGTATTAATGTTACATGAATGAAGATGGCTAAATAATAAACATTGTTAATATCGGCAGTAACTTGTATAGGTCTGAAGGTTTCAGGTATCCCCTTGAGGTATTCCCATGGGAATCTAAGTTGAAGTAGATACTTTGATTTTGGTTCCCTGACAACAGAATTCTGAAATCCTTGTCATTTCCTTAGTGAATGAGAGGAACATCTTTTGTTGGACTGTTTAGGTTTTCCATCCAAGGGCTGGACTCTGGAATGATTGTGTAATCTCTGGATAAAATTGTTTTATGTGTCAATGAGATGTAATGGCTGAAAACTCAACTAGCTGTGGGTTTGGGTCAGAAATCAAATGATGACCAGATGGAGCAGTCAGCTCTGTACAGCTTTGTAAGACTAGAGAAGGGCTAGCAATCAAGTTAATCACCAATACTTATTGATCAAGCCTCCCTATATAATGAGGCTGCTGTTAAAACCCTTAAAAAAAAAAAAAAAGCTGGTTAGTCTACACATGGAGGTGGCTTGGTCAGAGAGGGCATGGAGACTTGTTTTTCACCCATGCCCTGCCCCATGTCTCCCTTCTATTCAGCTGTTCTTGGGTTATATGCTGTATAATAAACCAGGAGCAGTAGTTTAAGTATTTTCCTAAGTTTTGTAAGCCTTTCCGATAAATAGACTCAAGGATGAGTTCTTAGAAACCCTTCATTTATACAGGAGGCCTGGATTTGTGATTGATTTATAAAGTGTGGAAGATGGGGGTGGCGAGTCTTGGAGGCTGAGATTTTATCTCTGGGGTCTGCACTAACTATGGATAGTGTCCAGACTAAATTGTAGGGACACAGGGAACTGGAGACTTTCTTGATGTGAACGCTGATGTTTGGTATCAGCAGAGTTGTTTGTTTTCCCCTTTGCTTTCTGTCACCCTTAGACTTGAGCTGAAGGAGTCATTGCTGAGGATGGGGTCAGGGCTGCTCTTCATCACTGTTCATGGGAAAACCATCATGTTTCTTTTTTCCCAGACAGTTGCTTCAACATCTGTAAGTGTTTGCAGGCTTTTTTCTGTTCTTACTGTTAGATTGCCATTTGTTGCAGAGTGTGATATAAAGTTGGTAATGACCATCTGAGCACATGTCACGGACAAACACTAAGAGAAGGAGTAGGATGAAAATTTTGTGGTCTTCTAAACCACAAGCCAACAAAGACCATGTTAATCCGGGAGCACAGATTTCATTTCCAGTCTGATTAGTAGGCATGTCCCAATCTTGAGATGAAAAACAGCCTCATTTGGGATTGTTTTTACTCACCTACTGGAAGTCTCATAATATTAAAAATGTAAGAGAAATCTGCAGGAATATGAGAACAAGGTATCCTGGAACAACACATACTCCCTCTGAAGGCACTAAAATCGTAACAAACAGGAGCTTTCTCAGTCAGTACCTGAAGCCTCGGAGGCAGGCCTTCTGGCCTTTGTGACATTGTCCAGTCCTGCTTCTCTCTGACCATAACGTTCAAGAAGGCTCCCTGCCTTCAAGCCCCTTGCAACACGAGGAGAGGAGACTTGCAGAGGAAAGAAAGCAGCCCTGAATAATTCCCTTTGAGTTTCCAAATCAAGGTCCACTTTTTCTCCTTTTGTTAAAATAGATGATTATTTTTCTCCAAAGAGAGGAAATCAGTGAATAAACCAAAACCTGGTTGATATCAGGGATTATCCTTAGGGTAGAGAACTAACCTCTGTCCAGTTTGCAGGTAGTGGCCAACAGAATTTTCTGTTAAAAAGCCAATCACAGGTGGCCACCTACTCATCTGATCTGGATCAACACATCCTGAAGGAGTTATCAAATACTTCTGCTATGCTATGATTTGTGGTGGGGTTAGGGTATTAATGAAGAGTGGTCTACTTCTGGCAATGAAATGTATAATGTCAAGATCATTCAATAGGTAACCCTAAAGTGGAGGGGATATAGTGTGTTTTATCTGTCAGTTTGAATCTATCAAGAAAGACAAGCTGCCAAATACCTGTTCACTTGTTTTCTTTCTTTTTATAAATTTTATTTTTAATTACTTCTTTGTTTATTAGAAAGGCAGATATACAGAGAAAAGGGATACAGAGAGAAAGATTTTCCGTCTGCTGATTTCACTCCCCATGTGGCCACAATAGCCAGAGCTGAGCTGATCTGAAGCCAAGAGCTTCGGTCCTGAGTCATCTTCGACTGCTTTCCCAGGCCACCAACAAGGAGCAGCTTGGGATATGAACTGG